CCACTCCTGTTCCATTAAGCAATTAAGCAAGAATAATATTGATCCAGTCATCAAATTTACTGCCAGAGTTTGCTCAGAGTGATACCATGAGTATAGTGATGATTTACTCATTTGACATGTTGGAGTGTCATGTATAAACAATTAGTAAATGATGCATGGTGCTGACAGCTTGGCGACCTCAACTTGTTACAGTTACCATTCACTGTACATTCTGCCTGGAGCTAGAGGAAACACCGTACAATAGACAATGCTGGGACGTCCTGGATATCCTGAAACAATGTGTTTGGGAAAAAAACAAAAATAATTGTTCGGCTCCTCCATTATCAAGAAAACGTTCTGTACTTTAATAAACCTTTTCAGGACATTCAGCATTCCAGTGAAAAATTTCTATTTTGTACCATAACTTGGAATTCATTTTTTCTCGAGAAATTATTTTATCAAACGAAATCCATGGATACCCTTCCAGAATATCAAATGGCTGGTATTAATACCCTGTTCACATGCGCCTCTATATATATGTGTGTATATATGTGCATACGTGTGTAGAAATACATACGTGAGTATACTTGTCATGTGAACGCGTTTACTCGTGTGTATATTTACACCAGGAGCAAATTTGCATCATGTCTGGAGCAGGTGCAAATGTAAATGTAAATTTGCACTGTGTGTATATGTTGCAATGTGAATGTTTATGTTAACGTAAGAGAATGATCTAATTAATATCTGTTCTTTTACCAACACCAAACAAATTGTCAACAGTTGCCAACTTTTATGCGTCTATACAGAGTTGAGCGGATGGTGTTTTCTTTTAGTTTCAAGGAGTCAAAACTTTGTGTACAAATTAAATCAAACACATGTTGCTTCACACGAAAATCTTCGGTGAAGTAACTCTCTTCGCATTCAGATTTGGAAAACAACCTGCTTTGTGTTGAAAGTTGTGAACAGACTGACAAATATGTGTGCCTTACACAATTTACATACTTTATTTACACACTAAGATGCTTTTCATGTGAATTGACAGTAAATATACATATACGCACGTATGTATAGTTAAGCGTTTGTAGAATTACTTACGTCAGTAAATGTTGTGCATGTCACAGTGAACGGGGTATTTGACGCTGACAAGAGGTATTATGATCCATATTGTGACACTTCGTGTTGTAATACATCAATATTACGACATATTAAATGCTTGTCAGAAGAATAGCGACCAAATGAATGGGATGGTCAGTTGGTTGACTGTGGGTCATTGTACCCCATGACAAGGTTCAGATTGAGGGACCACCCCCTTGTATTTTTGTTGCTTATGTATCGAGTTTTGCATTACCTTTTAAGCTTTAAGTAAATAACCACTTGGGCCTTTTAGGCCTTTATTGTATATATATATATAATACATCTTTTTAGATTGCAAACATGATGGTCTTATTACTAAGTGTTAGTTGAAATGCTAATCTGTAACATCAAATTCAAGGTAGTTAGTCGGCCACTTTAGGTGAAAGACTACCTAAGCTCATCACGCCAAAGACCCGGGTTCGATTCTCCACATGAGTACAATGAATATTGTCCAATGTTAATAAATCCTTAAGCTTCAGTTGGTTTATCTGTGTCAATGCACCTTAATGCAATCGGTCTGTCCATTAATGTATTTTTCAACCTCACGTGTGTACAGTCTGTCCACACTGTTAATAACTTTTGAGAACTACGAGTTGGCTCACTGTAGTCGCTGTGATTTAGTAACCCTGATGGTGTGGCACTCTGCTCACAATATACGTAACTGGACTGTCTGGTCTAGACTTGATTATTTTCGGCTGTTGATGTTGGAATGTTGCTGAGTGGGGCATTAAGCATGTTAAGGCATAAAAATACCCAAAAAAACTTAATTTTTTTGGAAGATATTTAACAAGAGTGGTGAAACCCATGAACACAATCACATGGTGCCGACAAACAAAGGCTCATTATAAACCAGGGCATTTGTAAAAGGGATTCGAACCCACAATTAGTGGACACTGGCATGGCAGTCAGCAACTACAAGTTGGATGATTCAAGTTTTTGTCTGGTTTTTCATCTTTGTATTTTCAATACATGCTTGTGATCATTTGTTCCGAGTCGACAGCATGGTAATGAAATCAATAAGCCCTTTGTTATTTTTATGAAACCCTGACGTAATTTGCTATTAAATGTTTACACATCGTCTCCTTCAGTGTTTTGTGATTAAAGTCATGCTTTCCGTGTCAAGGTAACTTAAGGTGGGCCCCATCAGTTTTGTCCTAATTCTCTGGTTACCATAGTAACTGATGTGATATGTACAAAAATAATTGAATTTTCTCTGTTCAGCATCATGTTATCTGCATCAAGGCAGTGATGAAAAACATGTAAGATTTGAATAAGGATATCTATTTCTTGTATTACTTTCAGATATTGTGTTACCATGGTGACAGTGTCTGTTAGCATGGTTAGGAAGCATTGTCTGTTTATTGTGTTTCTGCTGCTTATATATGTAGGGCATATTGCAGGATTTAGTTTTTTGATTGACTTGGACCTGATTTGCTACCACTCCATGGCAGAAATACCTTGTCGGGATAATGGTTTAGAATTGATTCCCAGCAGCCTACCATGCTGGCGTTAGAAATCAGAAGGTCAGACTCAGTGACTTGGTTGAGATTAGGGCTGGGACGGGTAACTCGGGTACTCAGGTCGAATGGGTCCTGAGTAGGACCCGGGTACCCACTGGACTACCTGGACCTGGTAGTCACATGATATATTGTTTAATGACAAAAAATCACTATAGCTCCAAGGTTACACAAGTCGGTAAATTTCTTTCTGACTATGCACACGTTCCTTTTGATTTGCATATGTTTGAGTAAATATATAACTTGAGTCAACTTCAGTGTTTGCATGATCTGATCATTTTATATGTAAATAGCATGTGCCTGAGGGCTGTAGTAATACAATTCCCAATCGGACATTCAGCGGTAGAAACTAACAGTTTCAGTCCACTAGTCCTTATAATGATAGCATATAGCAAAACCTTTAGAAATGTCAAAATTCTACAGTCCTTAGGATACCTTTACTATTGGGCAGTTTGGCAAGGACTATAGGACTAGTGCCAATTTCTAACCCTGACATTTTGTACCAAACTCTTGAGCCCTACAGCGAGTACCCGGGTAGGGTCGGGTCGGGTCGGGTCGGGTCGGGTAATAGGAGGTTGGGTACCTGGGTAGTAAATTTGAACTTGTCCCAGCCCTCGAGTCATCATATCCCAATGGCATTCATCATTCACCGAATATCATTCACTGGGTTGTCTAGTCCACACTCAGTTATTTACAGACTGAAGTCATACAGCTGGAATATTGCTGAGTGTGGCATTAAACAACAACAACAAACAACCAGCCAACCAACCAAACAAACAATGGCACCATGCAGTGTGTGACTTCACCAACTAGTCCTTAGCCCAAGTCTGTTGGAATGTTATTTGATTTAGTAAGCAACTAACAGGATCGGGTTGTCAGGTTTACCAACTTGGTTCATGCATGTCATCGTATCCCAATTGTGTCGAACGATGCTCATGATATCAATCATTGGATTGTCTGGTCCAGACTCGATTATTTACAGATGGCCTGACACTGTTACCAATGGGAAGATGGCAACTCTACACCGTATCATATTTGCACACTCATGAAAATAAAATTAGTTTCCAACCCTGTTCATATGTGTTGACATGGTTAGTACTCATAAGGTTGAGGATATTCCAGTATTCTACTAATGGCTTGCATAAACATGATAAAGACAAATCCTTTGGACAAGTTTAGTGCATTTGCATCCACACTTAAAGTGAGCTGTCGCAATAAATTTGATGAGGGACATGAAAACTGCATCAGCCAGTGACAGGTCGCAGGGTGCCATTGTCTAGAGGCAGTAATAAATATAAGTGGCGGGTACTTTAGCAGCCTGACTTAGGCCTTTGATGGGATATCCAGGGGAATATGGAATAGGGGATGTGTCAAGGCATACTTAAATCATTTTTCTACAGTATGGTTAATCAAGACCAGGGTTTTACATGACGCAGACATGAGTTTCCAGTTCTCACAAATGTGTAGAATGGACGCAGAAAGAAAATACGGCATTCGACGTAATAAGCGCCTATGATGACATTTGCTAATATATTGGCGAGTGAACAATCCCAATTAGGGTAGCACCCCTTCCGATTGATCAATGTACACAAGACATATTTATTCTTGTATAATACGCACTCGTGTGTTATATGCACCCTTAATTATGGGCAATTAAATTCTGGAAAAATATATCTGTCGTACATAAACATATAAGGCTGTCAGCATAAACCACGAAATTTATCTTTCAACTCTGTTTTTTTTTCACCACAAAATTGTGTTCTAATGAGCCCCCTATTTCTAATTTTGAGAGCACCCTGTGCACTTATTACGTCGAATACGGTAGGTTGCATCCTGAGGGACGTACATTTAATATTCAGTGAGTGAGTGAGTTGGGTTTAACGCCGCTTTAACAGTATTCCAGTTATATCGCAGCGTGTAATATTCAGTATACCAACTTTTTTAGATGAAATATAAAGTTCCTGTAATTCACGTAATTATCAAATCTTACAGTTCACTATACCATTTGATTACTTCACATTTACAGGACCCTCATTTGTCTTGTAAGGACCCTGGAAATTATTTATTGGGGGTCCCATGGATCCCTAATTTTGTAGGTCAGTCCAACCCGGAGAACAATGCATTGCTTTCATTGCCTGAACAGATACCTATATGTTACCACTGTTACATATTCTGTATTGATGTGCTGTCATCACTGTAAGACAGGGTACAGAGTCTCCCTAACTAATTATACAGGGGTCACAGTCTGCCTGACAGTTAGGGGTCTGTTAGAAACTACGGTGAATAAAGTTACTTTTGACTTTGGGATGTAATTCAAACATAGCTTTTATGAGGGCTTCAATTTATAACATGTTTTTTTCTGTGTTTCAGAACATAAGGTGATAATAGTTGGCTTGGACAATGCAGGGAAGACCACAATTTTGTATCAGTTGTGAGTATAGATGCTAACTCTTTTCTGTTGTCAGCATGTTTGTCATGGAATCCATCAGAACTGTTGAAGGAGTTCACTGGCTTGGACTGGACATACCCACTAGCCTGCTAGTCTCAGTCACTGGTCTTCTAGTCTCCGACAATCACTGGTCTTCTAGTCTCCGACAGCCACTGGTCTTCTAGTCTCCAAAAGCCACTGGTCTTCTAGTCTCCGACAGCCACTGGTCTTCTAGTCTCCGACAGCCACTGGTCTTCTAGTCTCAGACAGTCACTGGTCTGCTTGTCTCAGACAGCCACTGGTCTTCTAGTCTCAGACAACCACTGATCTGCTTGTTCCAGACAGTCACTAGCCTGCTAGTCTCACACAGCCACTGGCCTGCTTGTCTCAGACAGCCACTGGTCTTCTAGTCTCAGACAACCACTGATCTGCTTGTTCCAGACAGTCACTAGCCTGCTAGTCTCACACAGCCGCTGGCCTGCTTGTCTCAGACAGCCACTGGTCTTCTAGTCTCAGACAACCACTGATCTGCTTGTTCCAGACAGTCACAAGCCTGCTAGTCTCAGACAGCCACTGATCTGCTTGTTCCAGACAGCCACTGGTCTGCTTGTTCCAGACAGTCACTGGTCTTCTAGACTCAGACAACCACTGATCTGCTTGTTCCAGACAGTCACTAGCCTGCTAATCTCAGACAGCCACTGGTCTGCTTGTCTCAGACAGCCACTGGTCTGCTTGTCTCAGACAGCCACTGGTCTGCTTGTTTCAGACAGCCACTGGTCTGCTTGTTCCAGACAGCCACTGGTCTTCTAGTCTCAGACAGCCACTGGTCTGCTTGTCTCAGACAGCCACTGGTCTGCTTGTCTCAGACAGCCACTGGTCTGCTTGTCTCAGACACCCACTGGTCTGCTAGTCTCAGACAGCCACTGGTCTGCTAGTCTCAGACAGCCACTGATCTTCTAGTCTCAGACAGCCACTGGTCTGCTTGTCTCAGACAGCCACTGGTCTGCTTGTCTCAGACAGTCACTGGCCTGCTAGTCTCAGACAGCCACTGGTCTGCTTGTTCCAGACAGCCACTGGTCTGCCTGTTCCAGACAGTCACTGGTCTTCTAGTCTCAGACAACCACTGATCTGCTTGTTCCAGACAGTCACTAGCCTGCTAGTCTCAGACAGCCACTGGTCTGCTTGTCTCAGACAGCCACTGGTCTGCTTGTCTCAGACAGCCACTGGTCTGCTTGTTTCAGAGAGCCACTGGTCTGCTTGTTCCAGACAGCCACTGGTCTGCTAGTCTCAGACAGCCACTGGTCTGCTTGTCTCAGACAGCCACTGGTCTGCTTGTCTCAGACAGCCACTGGTCTGCTTGTTTCAGACTGCGACTGATCTGCTAGTCTCACACAGCCACTGGTCTGCTTGTCTCAGACAGCCACTGGTCTGCTTGTCTCAGACAGCCACTTGCCTGCTAGTCTAAGACAGCAACTGGTCTGCTTGTCTCAGACAGCCACTGGTCTGCTAGTCTCAGACAGCCACTGGTCTGCTAGTCTCAGACACCCACTGGTCTGCTTGTTCCAGACAGCCACTGATCTGCTTGTCCCAGACAGCCACTGGTCTGCTTGTCTCAGACAGCCACTGATCTGCTTGTCTCAGACAGCCACTGGTCTGCTTGTCTCAGACACCCACTGGTCTGCTTGTCTCAGACAGCCACTGGTCTTCTAGTCTCAGACACCCACTGGTCTGCTTGTCTCAGACAGCCACTGATCTGCTTGTCTCAGACAGCCACTGGTCTGCTTGTCTCAGACAGCCACTGGTCTGCTTGTCTCAGACAGCCACTGGTCTGCTTGTCTCAGACAGCCACTGATCTGCTAGTCTCAGACACCCACTGGTCTGCTTGTCTCAGACACCCACTGGTCTGCTTGTCTCAGACAGCCACTGATCTGCATGTCTCAGACCCCCACTGGTCTGCTAGTCTCAGACAGCCACTGATCTGCTTGTCTCAGGCAGCAACTGGTCTGCTTGTCTCAGACAGCCACTGATCTGCTAGTCTCAGACACCCACTGGTCTGCTTGTCTCAGACACCCACTGGTCTGCTTGTCTCAGACAGCCACTGATCTGCATGTCTCAGACACCCACTGGTCTGCTTGTCTCAGACAGCCACTGATCTGCATGTCTCAGACACCCACTGGTCTGCTTGTCTCAGACAGCCACTGATCTGCATGTCTCAGACACCCACTGGTCTGCTTGTCTCAGACAGCCACTGGTCTGCTAGTCTCAGACAGCCACTGGTCTGCTTGTCTCAGACAGCCACTGATCTGCATGTCTCAGACACCCACTGGTCTGCTTGTCTCAGACACCCACTGGTCTGCTAGTCTCAGACAGCCACTGATCTGCTTGTCTCAGACAGCAACTGGTCTGCTTGTCTCAGACAGCCACTGATCTGCTAGTCTCAGACACCCACTGGTCTGCTTGTCTCAGACACCCACTGGTCTGCTTGTCTCAGACAGCCACTGATCTGCATGTCTCAGACACCCACTGGTCTGCTTGTCTCAGACAGCCACTGATCTGCTTGTCTCAGACAGCCACTGATCTGCATGTCTCAGACAGCCACTGGTCTGCTTGTCTCAGACAGCCACTGATCTGCATGTCTCAGACACCCACTGGTCTGCTAGTCTCAGTCAGCCACTGATGGATGCTTGTAAAGACCTCTAGTTTTATAATTGATAAATTCTTATTATTGGAAGCAGTGAACAAGCTGACTACTTGTTTGCCATTGTTTCAGATTAGTCTGTATTTAGAATGAAATTATAAACATTTACCTCCCTTGCAGTAGAATATATATATAATCAGTCTACGACTTTATCCACTAGCCTCAAGCCCGAATCAAGTAAAATTATGTTTCTTGTAGTAAGCTCAGATATTATCGTCTGTATGATGATATTACATCTACTGAGAATATGCTGAGTAAGAGCCAAGACCGGGCTAGAAAAGACTTGAAAGATTTTGGCATTGATGTATTATTAAAGGCTTGATATGATTACAGTTTGATGAACGAGGTTGTCCACACGTCACCCACTATCGGCAGCAATGTGGAGGAGGTTGTGTGGAAGAACATCCACTTCCTCATGTGGGACATCGGTGGACAGGAGACGCTCCGGTCGGCCTGGAACACATACTACACCAACACAGAGGTAATAGCCGCAGGGGGAGATAGAGGAGGGAGGTTGAGAGCTATGTGACATCAGTCTTTAAATAATTGAGTCTGGACCAAACAATCCTGTGATTGACAATTGAGATACGATGACATGTAATGAACCAAGTCACCGAGTCAGACCACCTGACCTTTTTATCTTACCCAGAATCTCGGGTTTAGTTGATGTAAAATTAACGTCCCTTGTGTCAGGGTGACAAGCAATGGAACAAACTATCTGGAACTATTCCAAACAGGCATCCACAGGCCTGGGGTTCCTGCGGTCCTTGAGGTCTTTTATAGTGTTGCAATCGGGGGACCCCAAATTCTTCATCTTTCAACACAAGACTTATGACAAGTATTCAAAAGAAACCATTTGGTATGGTGTGGTAGGTTGAAGCATGGAGCTCACAGCCTCATACACTAAACTTGAAAAATGTTACAAAGACCAATTACAGTATTTGCTGTAAAAAGCCCCCAGGCAGAATTTAAAATTGACAACGTGGTGGGCTTGTTAAAACCACACGCAGGTTAAATTCCTTGTCAGAGATCTGGCGGTAGAGAAGAGACTCGGTTCAAACATTGATGAAACTAAGACCTATTCAATAATAGTTACAAGGCAATTAATTACCCCTTCCTATACACTGCTGTATATTCTGTAAAATATCTGTAATATACACAAAAAAAGTATGGCCTGGCATGTAAATTGTCACTCTAGTATAATGGGGCACTTTAATGATTTTCGTTAACAAATTGGTGTAAAATTTGGTAATGGGTGCTTTTTATGGTAAATACAGTACCTAAACATTGACGGATGGCCAGTATTGGAACCTTTTTTCTCCAATTACCAGTTTCAGCCCTGGCCTCAGCAATCCTCACTGGGATGCAGTTATTATGAAATAGAAAAATGATTACCCTTCAGGAGATAGATTGTTTTGAATCTTTTTCCCAACTGCTTTTTGATGTATGAGGACAAATCTCAATTACTTTCCTGCCCTTTGCAAAATATGGAGCGTTAAAATAACAGCTATTAATAGCTCTTGGCCCTGAGATATGCATAATTCAAGAAGTGCTAAAGTTTTAGATATATTTATGAGTATTCATGAGTATTCATATTTTGGATTTATGGCAACTCCAAATGCTGAGGTTGAAAGGTGTTAAGAATGCTGATTGGGATGTTTTCAGGAAGTGTTCTTCAGGTATTTGAACAAGGGCAGTCTTTGACCCAAGTTTCTTCCTGAGGAGATGTACTGGTAGATAAATACAGTGCAGATGTTCTTTAAATTATTCATCTTGGTTAAGTTCCTGGATTTAACTATGTCAACCTTTAGATTTAAAATCCAGCCTTTTTCATTAAATTGTAATCTTTCTCGCTTGTCCAAAGTTCAAAATTTGCAAGGAATAGATAGAAAAAATGTCAGGTGTCAATGTCTGACATGCCTTTCAGCTGGAGAAACTAACAATTTTAATCCACTTGTCCTTATAATAATTACATATAGCAAACCCTTAAAAATAGCAAATTACTATTGGGCAGTTTGGCAAGGACTACAGGACTAGTGCCAATTCTAACGCTCAAAGTTACAATTTGACATTTCCAGTAGGGTACAAAGGACTCTCATACCTTGTCCTTTCTTGATAATGAAACTTCTTTTCATGAGACATATGATTCTGTTTAAGAATATAAAATGAGTAAAAATTCTGCTGATTAAGTAGACTATGTTTGCCAACTTGACTTGTTTGATTCAGTTGAATGTTGATATTGCCAATCATGCTGCCGATCTAGATGTAAAGTGTGGTGCTGAGATCTTTGACAGTAATGGAGCTACTTTCTGCTTCAGCGTGGGAACATCCACTTCAGTGCTGGATATCAGATACGGGTCACACAATATTATTTATTTAAGCTGGTTAGAAGTTTCTTTTGTTGCAAGCTATCATGTAGGTGATGATAAGGACTATTAAATCAGATGCATTTATATTCATGAGAGTATCATAGCGTTTGTGAGAAAAATGGATATTGATCTGTTTCCAATAACCTCAGTAAAGCTTTCAAATATTCATTCAGATAATGAACTTACTTTCCATGATATAACTGAAATACTGTTCAAAGCAATTTTTAACCCAAGTCGCTGTGTTTTCTTTATGCCAGAAATATGTGAATTTATAAAACTCTCTTAAGACAAATATACTGCCTTGAACATAAATAAACGAGAGAGTGACAGACTTTCAGTCAGACAATAAATGTCCAGCCCCACCTTTCCAGAAAATCAGATAAAAAGACGTGACAAGATCATGTGTAAGGGTGTCTGGGGACTAGCCCAAATGGCTGTAGGATTTTGAAATATTGATTTTTAAAGAAGGCATGTGAGTGTCACCTGGACTATTGCTGGAGTGTGTGTGGAGATGCATGTCTTGTCTCTGAGGTGTCACATTTCCTATTCTGCTGATAGCCGTTTCCCATGAAAGAGGGACACACTTGTTACAAAACCTGTATGTTGTTCTTATAGCTATATGTTCAAGGTGAGCGAATAGTGTCACATAGTGAGTGAGTGAGTTTGATTTTACACCGTTTTTAGCATTTTTCCAACAATATCACGGCAGGGGACACCTGAAATGGGGCCACATAAAGAAGTTAAAGACACCCAATTCTTTCATATTACTATAGTTAATCTGTCATGCCATGATTCTTTCATATTGCTATAGTTTAGATTACCAATAGTCATATGAAAAAATGGTGTTTTCTTCAACTTCTTCACAGTGAATAATTATTTTCTTCCTGATGTATCAATAATTTGATTCACATGAAGCATGTCTGTTTAGTAGGTTCTTTTTTTTATAAGGAACACACATTTTCTATTTTCTTCGTGTGTAGTTATTTGGGCTCCTGTGAGGAAGTAGTTGCTAGGCAATGTAGATGTGTGAGTTAACTAAATGGGTTAACTTGGTGGATTGCTTTTCATCATACTGTGATCGGGTTGGACTTGCCCACAATATCAATCACTGGATTGTGTGGTCTAGATTGGATTATTTACAACCGTCGTCATATAGCTGAAATATATTTGCCTAGTGTGGCATTAAAACAATTACAAACACTAGTTGAGTTGATCTTTGAGTTGATGACAACAGGGTTAGAATTGGTCTTCAGCGACCCATGCTTGTGATAAGAGGCGACTAAGGGGATCAGGTGGTCAGGCTCGCTGACTTGGTTGATGCATGTCATTGTATCCCAATTGCTTAGATCGATGCTAATGATATCAATCACTGGATTGTCTGGCTCAGACTCGATTATTTACAGACCGCCTTCATATAGCTGGAATATTGCTGAGTGCGGCGTTAAACAACAAACATTTGTGCAGTGTTGACCTTGTATTTCCATTTGTCATTGTGATGATTAACTTATTCTTTGTGTTTGTTATTATGGAGACTGAATCGATGTTTTATGTTTAGTCACGGGGACTGACTTCATGTTTCATGTATATTCACGGGGACTGACTTCATGTTTCATGTATAAACACGGGGACTGACTTCATGTTTCATGTGTAAACATGGGGACTGACTTCATATATATTCACGGAGACTGACTTCATGTTTCATGTATATTCACGGAGACTGACTTCAAGTTTCATGTATATTCACGGGGACTGACTTCATGTTTCATGTATATTCACAGGGACTGTTTCATGTATAAACATGGGGACTGACTTCATGTTTCAGTTTATAATCATCGTGATTGACAGCACAGACAGAGAGAGATTGTCCTTGACGAAGGAAGAACTGACAAAGATGATGCATCATGAGGTAGGTAACCATGGTAACAGTACAGGATGTAGCGTTAGCTGTTTGGTATTACCCGACACTGCACTATATTAGTGTATTTTATCACATCTATATATATATATATGATCATTTTAAGTATTAAAACAAAAGTCTGCTAACAGATATATGTTTAAGCAGAAATTCTTTGTGCAGAGTTGTTTCCCTTAGGCCTGCAAGAAACCTATCATAGCAGTTCAAGTACCAAAAATGTGTCTTAGGCCTGCATTACTTCAGACTTTCTTCCTACTTCAAATGGACATGCTGTGACAAAACTGAGATACTGTTCAAAGTAGGTCTTGGACGAGTCCAAATTTACTCCCCGAGTACCCTATCCCCTATTACCCGACCCACCTGACCCGACATGGGTACCCACCTCCCTGTTACCGTCCCTACATGGGTACCCACTCCCCTATTGCCCGACCCTACCTGGGTACCCGGGTACCCACACACCCACCCACCCCCCATCACCCGACCCTACCTGGGTATCTACCTGGGTACCCACCCCCCTATTACCCGTCCCTACCTGGGTACCCACCCCCCTATTGCCCGACCCTACCCAGGTACCCACCTCCCTATTACCCGACCCTACCCGGGTACCAACCCCCCTATTTCCCGACCCTACCCGGGTACCCACTCTAGCTCTCAAGAGATGTCTCAAAATGTCCTGGCCAGATGTACATGTATATAGAAACATGTATTTAACAATCTGGTCATGCATACACTGAAGTTGGCTGAAGGTGGACTTTATTGAATCACGTCAAAAGTCAGAAGGAATGGGTGCATAGTCAGAAAGAAATGCGAACATTAGTGACCGAAAGAGTTCCAGATAATTTTTGTAATTAAACGGGTCTGGGTAGTCATGTTTGTACCCGGGTCCTACTCAGTACCCACCCGACCCGGGTAGCCGAGTTACCCGTCCCAGCCTTAATTCAAAGGTATGTTGATTGTTGAACCAAACTCACTCATCCATTCTTATTGCAGGATCTGAGGAAGACGTCAGTGCTGGTATTTGCCAACAAGCAAGACATCAAGGGATGTATGTCGGCGGCGGAGATCTCTCAACAGTTGTCTCTTACCTCAATCAAAGACCATGTATGGCATATACAGGGATGCTGTGCCCTGACAGGGGAAGGGTAAGACCACAGTTGCCATGTTGGGAAGGGGGTGATGAGGCTTGGGTAGATTGGCAGTCCAAGCAGATTTGAATAAGTACTGCGCTTCATTTGTTCTCTGTGGGGACCAGGGCTACAATACGTACCCCATGAATCCATGGTCATACCAGGTGTCTGATGTGGATCAGGTGTCACTTTTTGAGCAATTGAGTTGTTACTCTAGGGTTTGAATTGGGTTATTTCATTTTTTATTGGGTAACCAATTTTTTTTCACTCTTCTATTTTTCCCTAAATTAGTGAACATTTCAAGATTTAAAAAATGAAATAATGTTTTAGATGTACATAATGTACAGATGTATATAAGTTCTAAATATATGGGCTTAACTCGGAAAGTAAATTAGCTCGTAATTGTGTTTTGGAAATTAGCTTCTTTGTACGCATGCTGAAAAAGCTTCATTGGGTATTTACCATGATTTTCGTGTGCTGTTTTTATACATTTGAGTTTTTCATTTCATGCATGCGTTTCTGTTGGCAAGTTAATTTAAAGTATTTGGGTTTTGAATAATTTGGGTTTTGAATAAACGCAAATATGCTGCTTGTCTGTAGCTCTGTGGGATGTTGCTGATATCCATCACTCAGTGTACACCTGTGACGATCTGGGGTAAAATAGGTCTTCAGCAACCCATGCTTGCCATTAAAGGCGACTATGCTTGTCGTAAGAGGCGACTAACGGGATCGGGTGGACAGGCTCGCTGACTTGGTTGATGCATGTCATCGTATCCCAATTGTGTGGATCGATGCTCATAATGTCAATCACTGGATTGTCGGGTCCAGGGTCGATTATTTACAGACTGCCGTCATTTAGCTGGAATATTGCTGAGTGCGGCGTTAAGCAACAAACAAACACTCAGTGGAATGAAATATGAACTTTGTTTGCAGGTTGTACCAGGGTTTAGAATGGATAACAAACCATTTGAAGAAACGGTGACAGATGGGATGAATAGACCATACACGCTCTGTAGCACAGATGGCTGCCATGGAAACAATCCTAGAAATTAACAAGCATTACAAGTTATAAAGACAAAGAAGAGACAGAGAGTGCCAATGGCAGGCCATTCTAAGTTAAATCGGAGAGAGAAAGGAATAAGTTATAAACTTTTCTCAAGGTGCTTTCTTTAAGCGAAGGTAGTTGTGTGGATGTGGAACTTGGTTCTCGGCAATCAGGATGTAAACTAGCAGTACTGTAACATGGAGTGGGATTTACAAAAGGATGTGGATTATCATGTGCACGTAATATAAATTTCCAAATTATCATCCATCATTTCACATGCTCAGAACTGTGAAAAGGAACTGAGGAATGACTATGTATTTTGCATTTACGAAAATCAATAATGTATATTTTATTCATGTTTCAGGTAATATCATTTTCGAAGTGTCATTATGTATGTATTCCTATGCTGTTGTCTCCCAAAAACTTGTGTTCCTCTATTTTGTTTGTATTTGTGTGAAGAATATCTGTTTTACACCTCGCTGCCTAGGAGTACAGATTCAGGAGCATTGAAATATTTCATTCCTAGCTTTAATTCAGTTTGTCACTATATCCTCTTGCGTAGAGACAGTGCTCATTACAAGACTCACTTTTGGCTCAAAATCAAATATTCTTTGAATGTCAGAGAAAATACTTCTTATGATAGTATATTGTGTATGTTTATGACGAGAATATAAATATTTTGATTGCTATCCGATTGCCAATAAACAAGGAAGTATAAAAAGGAATATTTTATTTAAAAAAAAACCCTTTGTTTTAGCCAGTTATATATTGTTCAGTGTGATTATTTCTTGTAATTGCGAATATGTGTAACATATTTTTATGAGTTATGAATGTGTGTATTTTGAGTGTACTATCATCTGTATATGGCATTTCAGTTCTGAAAAGACAAAAGTTATATTATGGGCTGTAAATCGGTCAGTAACCATCCTCAGTGATTCAGGGTATAATATTTCCATTCAGTTAGGATAAATACCCTGAACCCATTGGCCACTTTTGACTCAATAAGAAGCTATGCTGGTGTATATATGCTAACAGAATGAAGATATAACACACTGAATAATCTAGGATGGTCAGTAACAGATATATATATATATATGGAGATGTTTTATCACTTTTAAGAACAGCTTTTCAAAGTGACAGTATATTTCATTTAAGAACCTGCTTAAGCACTGTTAATGATGCGGTCGGGTAGCCTAGTGGTTCAAGTGTTCACTCGTCACGTCGAAACCCGACATGGGTAAAATGTGTGAAGCCCATTTCTGGTGTCCCCCGCCATGATATTGCTGGAATATTGCTAAAAGTGGCGTAAAACCATACTCGCTCACTCTCTCACATTAATAAAACAACATACAATTTAAAATTTTGTGAAACTTCACCAGTTCCGTAACTGAAAACAAATATGGTGAAAGGGAGGTAACTCTTTCTGTAACAAACTAGGAATCTTGTCACCAAGTTACCTATCTCATGTAAATCTAGTCCACAGATGAAAGTTAAGTATTATTTGTGTGTCTCACGATAAAATAATGCCATATTATTTTGTACAGTACCCATACGTATATGAAGAATCTTTGAGGATTATGGACTGGTCATTTATGGGGCGGTGGGGGGTGTCAGTGAGATTTTAGCATGTTTAGTGGAGGTTATGAAAAATGACAACGAAAGAGGGGTAGTTGCCAAAATCTATCACAACTATATGAGGATGGGGAGCATGAAAAAATGACAGTTTTAATATTCCTGATAAACAATAAAAATTAACATCATTTTGGGACTGGTCAATTTTTAATCGGAAGAGGATGATGAAATAATTTTACATAAAATGGAGGCGGGGAGGGGGAATATGATACAGTCCGAATACCATCCTTTCTTCCCCATCTCCCCCCATAATAAATTACCAGTTCCTTTAGGACTAAGTAGTAATGAAAAGGTGAAGTGTTTGGCCATTTGTTACAATTTTTGTGTTCGTAGATTGAGTCAATATTTTTCTTTTACCCCTTCTCCTGCTATTTACAAGATACAAGATCAAGCTGTTTTGAATGTGATCATTATGTTGATACCCATCAGTTTAATTTGAAACTTCAAACCACACTTGTATGTGATACTTGTTTTTTCACTTTCATGACAACAGTGCTACGTACGAAACTAAATCTGCTTTCTCAGATAATGAGTCGTTCCTGTAAATTTTATTTTTCGTTTTTAAGTTAGGTGGCTGTTGAGAGATAAGGCTATTGACAGTCACCATAGTTATTGTTGGAACAAAATGACAAGTCAAGTTACCATGGTTACTGATGGAACTAGATGACAAGTCAAGTTGCCATGGTTACTAATGGAACTAAAAGACAAATAAGGAGTCTTCCCATACTTCAACATGATAGAAGCTTTACTTTTTAAATTGCTTTCGAAGATGCTTTCATTTATTCAATGCTATTGCCATTGTTTGTTTGTTTCAGAAGCTGGTCAACTGATTTTAAGTATTGATAACTTTACGATATTCAGGAAAAACTTTTCCATGTTTTGCCATGTACAAAAATCAGGGGGAAATCCTTTAAAGTACTGTAGAATATGTGAAACAAAAAGTTTCTACTGTTTCAGGGGCATTGCTACATGCATTATATGTCAATAAAAAACATCACTACAAGTTATGTGTTGTATAAATTTGGATCAATCTTTTTATTAATTTTTAACTGTACAAAGTTACACTTTTTGCACTGGGACTTGCATTACCTTCCTTGCTGCATCCAAGCTTATGTTTATTATTGCCTATCCAAACCTCTGAATATCCACGGCTCATTTCAGTGGGGTTTATTTCTACTTTGGTGGGATATTTATAAAAGTGCTCGCAGTAAATCAAAGTGAGACGTGTCACAGTCACCTTCCCTGCCGGAGAAACATTTAGGGACCAGTCATTAATTATAGGGGAGGGTCATAAAAAAATAATAGACATATTTGGGGAGAGTCGTTTATAAACACAAATTTTATAATAAAATATAATGTGATTTTGCATTTTGTCTTTTCAGGAAGGGTCATGAATAAAATGTACAAGGATCTAGGAAGGGTCATCCAATAATGGGACTAGAATGAGCATGCATATATATGCATCAATTCAAATTTCATACGAGTTGACCATGTGCATGCAAAAAACCCTCAATTTCAAATACTGTTTTTCAATGTAATGTGAGTCCACCTTTTTTAGCTTTAATTTCTTTGGGAAAATTCCATCCTTTTTCTTCAGATGAAGTCTTTGTTGGAGGATGTGGAAGAGAACAATAAAGTTTTTCCTTGCTCAGAAAATGGTTAAATAGTTACTTTCTGATCTGTAAAACAAGTGATTTTTTTTGTCTGGATTCAATTCAAACAGTGTCCTTTATACAGTGCGGCTGTAGTTAGAAAAATGTTTGTGTGTTATGGTAATATTTAATGTAGTTTAAATAAAAATAGGTTGGAACCTTAGAATTCAGCAAATAACAACGAACTGAAGATTTAAAACTTGATCAGTAAGTTTTTGCAATTTCAATAAAACATTTCTTAAGCATTTTAGAATATTAGGTTTTACTGTCTTGTATATACTTACAAAGATATCCTTTGAAACACCCTGCTTCCAAAAAATGTATTTTTCACAGCCTTAAATGTGTAGCTTGATGTTGGAAAGGCTATGAAATGCACACGCATACCTCACAGGATTAACAATTCAAGGGTAATGATATATACTCACTCATATATGCTGTCATTGATACATTGTGGTCTTGTGTACATGACATTCCTCCATCAGCTGTGAATACATATGGGGTGGGGGTAGCATGGGTGGCCCAGTCATCTGAGGCGCAGAGAATCGCTATACAGAGTTGCGTCCCTTGGGCACGCCAGAAACCTATGATTGTGGGTTCGAATCCCGGTTCGCCCCGATTATGTTTCTAGGTTTGTAAGCACCATACCCGTGCTCGTGGGTTTCACCACAGTGGTAAAGGTCTAAGACCTGCATCACTTCAGGCTTTCCTCCCACATTAAGATGACACACCGTGATACTGGAATACCGTTAAAAGCGGCGCTAAACCCAACTCACTCGCTCCAACGATCTACCAACAAGTGGGAAATCAGTGAATAATCGAAAACATCCAGTTGGCAAATTATTAAGTGTCTGGTTAACACTTTTTCAAATTGGACATTTTGCAGTCACACTGCCGGCACACAGTCAGGATCCCAGATCCCTGACTCAAACCAATGATAACTTGGTGTACCTGACAAACACAGCAATATTTCTCACTTTACATCGCAGGGCTCGATTTAACTATATAAAACATGCACCAGAGTGACCTATTATTGAAAAGTGTAGCCTAATATTTATGTCAAGTTGCACCAAGTGCATGTAAATATGATTCTAATTTTTGTCTGACTAACCCTTACTTGGCCACACAACAACAATCTTTGAACACACTCAGTACCTCTAAGCTTTATGTACATCACTAATCCCTGTGTTATGTGTAATTAGTGAGATTTGAGGTTTTTTTTATCAAGATGTAGAAAAGGCATCTATCATCTCTATGTTACAACTGGGGGGCACAGGTGGCCCAGTTGTCTAAGGCGCCGCAATTCTCTGTGCAGAGTTGCATCCCTTTGGCACGCCAGAAACCTATGATTGTGGGTTCGAATCCCAGTTCGCACCGATTATGTTTCTAGGTTTGTCAGCACCATACCCATGCTTGTGGGTTTCACTGGTAAACGTCTAAGACCTGCATCACTTCTGGCTTTCCTCCCACATTAAGCTGACACGCTGTGATATAACTGGAATACTGTTAAAAGCGGCGTTAAACCCAACTCACTCACTCAACTTTGATAAACTTATGGGACCAAGGTGCAAGCTGGTTTTGTCTGGTGCAACTAGATTTTCATGTCACTATGCATCTGGTGCAAGTTCAATGAAGTTCCTTAATTCGAGCCTTGCATTGTGTGCAACTTGTTGCATACATCACCTTTTGGTATCCACTCAATATACTGCTTCAATATCATGCAAGGAAAGGGTTGGCACAAACTTCATGCTCGAGTAGGACTCATTTGACCTCCGTGAGTTTTTCACAGCCTCGTTTCAATACCTAAACATACACACGTCACCACTAACTGCATATGCCCAGTGTGTTGACAGGTGATGGAGGAACATTATTAACACAATCCCGTGAAGTATGGTAAGAATTTACCTGTTGATAAATTTGTTGGATCCTTAACAGTAAAATGACATTCAAGCAATAGTTATTTGGTGTTGGATCATACCAATTTATACCCGATATATACTGATGGAAAGAAATAAGGGAACAGTTTCAGTTGGAAATTGTTTGTTGCTATGCAGTTATGATTTTTATCAGCAACATGAGACAAAGTTAGCCCTGGGTGCCGTTGTACAAAACAACCTTAGTGCTACAACTGTCTTATGTCTATGTTAAGGTATGGGAGCTACGGTCACCTTCGCGCTAAGATCGCTTGGTGCAAGGCACCCTGGTCACCTGCTACATTGCCAGACTTCCCTGTCATGTGCTCGGTGCCAACTTTCAGTTGCATCTTCTGGGTGTTTCATCCCTACCATCCTCTATTTATTTCCCTCAGTATATATGTTTAGATGGAATTCCAGTAGAAAATCAAATAGAATGTGTGACCATCTGGAAGCAATTCAATTTCTTTGGAGACCTATATGGAGTGTTCCAACTGACAAATATCCTTGATTATCTAATGTATTGTATCGCCATTTTATTATGGTCACTGCCTTGGACGCTTCCGCCACATGGCTTTGTTTCAGAAGTGACGTCCTCTCTTATCACTTATTTAACACGAACAGTGGGGTAGCCTGGTAGTTAATACGTTCGCTCATCACACCGAGGACTCAGGTTCGAATCCCCACATTGGTACAATGTGTGAAGACCATTTCTGGTGTCCCCTGCCTTGATATTGCTGGAATGTTTCTAAAACCAGCGTAAAACCATACTCACTAATTTACAAAGAAATTCTCTTGCTCACAAACTTGAAATCAACACAAAAAAATACCTCTTCTAAACACAAGTAGATACACAACATGTGCATGCATTCACAATCACAATGTCATCCAAGTGAGCAATCAATTCATTTAATCGAATCAGAAAATGTGAATGGATTCTTTGCTGGAAAATATGGTTTCATCATTCTGACCATACTCAAAACAAAGCATTGGTATTTATCAGAATAGAATGCAGATATAATACACTTGATAATCAAGGGTGATGGATAATGAATTGGACAATATATTAACCAACTTGTCATTGTTGTCTCGGTTGAAAGGTGACAGGTCTCTGTAATAGTAGTTAATCATCATGTGCAATCTGTGACTTTAGACACTAGTCCATAGCCTGAGCCTACTAAAATTCTGTCTGGTCTAGTAAGCTCATTTAATAACAGTCTACATAGTGACCCTAAAATCTACTGAAGATAATGCTAGGTGCCATGTTCTGGCTGGTAGACCAAAAAGCTTCTGACACAGACTGCATATGACATTGCTGAAAATATTTTAGGTCAAAAGCAAAAATGTATAAAATTTGATTATATGTACCCAATTATGACATATGGGATTAACAACTAAGCAATAAGGTTTCATTAGGAATTTTTGAATATGGAATGGGTATTTATTAGAATTGCTACTGTAGTTCACTTCCTCTGTTTTCAGAAAGTGTTGTCCCCCCAACTTGCTCAGATAGTTGTTAATCCCACATGATTAATATTACTAGGTATGCTATGGCCGACCCCCAATGGTTTGAATAGTCATAAGTTAAGGATCATGGTTGTATATATTTTTATGAAAATATGATAATGTCCACGTTGTCATTAAATCTGTTGTGGAAATTTGAAATCATAGACAATAAAAATAAGTACTTTATCTTGGTAGCTTTGTCGTATTTTCTCTCTGATTGGTTGGTTTGTTGTTTAACGCCGTGCTCAGCAATATTACAGCTATATGACGGCGGTCTGGAAATAATCGAGTCTGGACCAGACAATCTACTGATTGATATCATGAGCATCGATCCACGCAATTGGGATCGATGACATGCATCAACCAAGTCAGCGAGCCTGACCACCCGATTCCGTTAGTCGCCTCTACAAACAGAGTCGCCTTTTACGGCAAGCATGGGTTGCTGTAACGAGAACACAGCTCGGGCGTGCACTCGTCAGCTGTCTTATACTGTCAAGAGTAAGATCTTCTGGACGGCCACTGCACTAGAGGCATGTGGATTGCGTTTGGGGTACCACGTGGTCTGGCCTCACTTTTTTAAGAGCTCACGTTAAAACGTTATGGCTCTGCAGACGGACTTGTGTTTTCAAGACCTATCGGTTGGAATTACTACAACAGATATAACTTGGTTAGAGCTTCCTAACTGTAACACTAACTGAAATTAACCCCTTTCTTAAACATTTGGGGCGACAATGCGACAACGAGACATATTTTGACCTTGAAAATGTCGCATTGTCGCCCTTTGGTAAAATATATAAAAAAAACCATTTATTCAAAGCGCCACAATTGGCCAAAATGTCGAGTTGTCGCATTGGTTAATTTTCATGCGTTTTGCTTGTTTTTGTAAGGGCGACAATGCGACAATGCGGCAATGTCCCTTCTGTGCCTAACATGTCCATTAAAACATTAAATGTTTAAATGCATTGTTGCAGCTTCTGATTTCATAACTCTTCAGGGAGGATTATCAACAATGGGATGGATTGGTGATGAGTTCAACTGCATGCTGATGTCAGAGTCTAAACGTTCTGATTAACATTAATGCTCACAGTGAACACGTCTTGCCAAATGTATGACATGTATCACCTGTAGGAACATATTATTCATCCATGTCCATATTATTCATCCATGTCCATGTTTTTGACGGACAAAATGTTTTTACAAGTTCGGTAATAATGATGACTGGCATCATTGTGTTTCCGTGCTTTGTTCAGGTGAACAATTGACTTGTCTTTGCATGTGTTTGTGACGGGTGCCACCGGTGTGGCAGGATATACAAACCTTTTCGTGAACACCCACTGAAAGGTCTGATACGCCGTGATATAACTGAAATACTGTTCACTGTATTGTATGTTACTGCAACTGTCAAAATTATGTGTAGGGATGCTATGTAATATGTACAAGAAAGCAAATTCAATTATGAAGTTGATTTGATTGAGTATACTTGCGTCAGTATAGTTTCTTAACGCCCAAAACCGTAGCATGCAACAACCTTACAATGTCTGGCCCTCACTCTATGAAGGTTGATACTCCAATGAACTCACACATGTCAGTTTTTATAATTTTGTACATCACCATTTTTATACCTCGAGGGAAGTAGCGCTAGATCTATATGTGTGACTTCTTGTTTACACTGACAGCCATACAACAACCAACTGTATCGCGGGATAAAATAGTTCCACGAAAAGAGAGGTTACAAGAGCGTATGTATGCTCAACTTGCTTTACGGGAACATCTGTTTTAGTTGCTGAGAAAGGTCTGTAAAGAACTACATCAGTAAGTCAATCACAACGACAGAGCG